CCCCCCCCCCCCCCGTCGGTCGCCTCTCTGATACACATACATTAATCACATGTAGGCCCATAAAATTTTATAAAATCATCCCAATTGATATCTTTCTCTTTTTTTTTTTGGTAACAAACCCAATTGATATCTTATTCTTGTATTATATCATATTGTTGTTTATTATTGCTCTACTGTTATTTTGGATGCTAATATTTAAGCACCAATTTATCATACTTCAAGCCTATTATATGTCTTGAAACATAAGGAAAGTATTTTAGATGATGATTTTCTGACATTTTCTTAAAAAAAAATGTGTTTTTATCCAACCAAATTTATAAATCCATGACCCCCATATATTTTTCAGTACGGTTGAACGGAAATTGGTTTGTTTCAGTTCGGTTTGGTTATGAAGATTCAACTGAAAAGTTAAAGCTTAACGTACTTAGAAGATGCTTGAGAGCATTTCTTCCCTTTTGTTATACACTTGTAACCACATTAGCATTGAGCAAAGCAGGCTTTCAACCCATATTCATATTCTTATCAGCATCCATAAATAAAACATGCAAGAATCGAAAACACCGAGTTAAAATTAATCGCTATCTCGAAGTGTATAACGAACTCACAAAGCATCTACGGGATCGTGCAAAGATGTAGTTGTCCTATTAACTCGAGTTCCTTTCAGGGAATCTATTCGCGAAACTACAGTAGAAGTGACTGAGCTAAGTTGAAAAGCCTACCCTCGAGAATATCCGAATGCCTTCTACTTTCCACCTATCGTGAGATCGATGTGTATATACGCAAGGCATGCCACGAAGAACATGAAGAAAGCTGACACCAGCATGAACGGCTCGGCCAGCATGAACATAGGCTTGAAACTGTAGTAAACCTGGGGAATTGTAATGAGAGTAATTCAAGTGTTAAAACAAAAAAGATTTGGTTAACGGTATTCTCTTTCCGGATCATAACAAGAATAAGTTTTCGTTTGTTTAGAGGTTCAACAATAGAAAATGCGGGCTGAGGAGGAGGATCGACGAAATCTACAGCGATGAGATATATATATAGAACGTGTATAGGATGTTTTATTACCTGGAAAGGAACATTGTGCGAAGGAACCACATTGTTCTTTTTCAAGACTACCACAACCCTTCCCATGACGTCGAGGTATGAATATTTGACCTGAGAATCATAGTAGAAATTGCAAAGTTGAGGAAAAAAAAGAACTTTTGTTTTCTTATTGGGATTGGATCAGGCAAGAGAGTTGGTTACCTCTAGGGCTTGATCGACGGGAAAGGGGATTACAGCGGACGGGTCTTTTGATCCTTCGGGAAGTACAACCTGAAAAGAAGCTCTTCCCAAATTAGCATAATCTCTAGTGGAATAACTTGAAAAGAAATAACATAATTCCAAGACATACTTTGACTGTCAATTTGTCTACTACAGTTTCAACGAGTGGACACCCGAAAGTAAAGTTCAAGTAACGCCTGCCATCAGGTGATTCGAAGAGGAAATCCTCCAGTGGTACTCTATAGCCAATGTCAAAATTTGCTCTCCAACCTCCAAGTAATGGGTACCTTGGCTCAATTTCAAGTTCTGACTGCAAAAATATAAAATTGCTTCAATCACACTACCTTTCCGTAGAATATTTAAAAGATATGTCCTATGCATCACTATTAAGTAAAATATCAAAATGGAATGGCCTGGGATTTAACAAAGAGAGCGCAAACCAAATCTGGTTACCTTCCGGAAGCCAGCGCGTAAATGCGAAGACGAGATGTTTCCTATTTCATCCCTGTAGTAGACAGAATTAACTCTGGGAGGCAATACAGCCAGGAGATCATTGAAAGATGGCGCACCACTAAAAGAACGTCTAGACTGGTATTCAACCCTGCCGAAATTGAAATTTCATGAAAAAAAAAATCAGCACAATGAATTATGTATGAATATATAAAATTTCCAGCAAACTCTTTGACTAACAAAGAATTTCAGGTTTTCCAATGGTTGGTACAAACTCATCGTCAACACTCAACTGTGTCTGAACTTGCCTGCTAAATCTCACCATGAATATGATTCATCCTTTCATTTTGTGCAAACAAAATTTATCTGAAGCACCAGTACATGTGTATTGCTAGAAAGTTTTATGCAACTAAACAAAACAAAGAGAAAATGGTCTCTAGAGAGCACTCCAGAACAACAGAAATGGCACCTTCATTATCAGTTTAAAAACAAACAGCTCAAAATTCCTAGCATATACTTATTTACAATCTTAAACCAGAATTCCTTGCCACAATACTTTAAAAAATTGCTCCAGAATCAGTTGGCATCGTCAAGCAAGCAATGGAGAGAACAATATTCTTGTTCAAGTATAACCCCAAATTTAATGGAGATTAACTGAAAGAGTTCATGCCCTACATACACAAAAGCCATTCCTAACCTCGAGAAGATTCCCTTGTGCCGAGCTCCACCATGAGCCAACCTGTAATTCTCAGTTATTTGAAGGCTACCCCAATGTGATATCTCAATTTCACGCACTAGCTCCTCAACAACAGCAAATGGACTGTTATTCTCAAAGTGAACAGTAATTGGAGCATATGAGTATGGAGACCGATTCTCATATGGTCCATACTTGATCTCTTTACCAGCCCGATTCACAGGCTCCACACTAGTGAAAGATTCCACTTTAACATTAGGCATCTTAATAAACGTTGTCTGTTGCTTAATATGATACGGCGACAACATAAACGCGCTATCACGATAGTGTACCAACTGAGGTTCAGATTCGCTTATCTCAGCTGGGAAGGGTTCCAAGGAATGAGTCAATATATAGAGCACTTCTAGTGATATAGTTTCACCGGGACCTAAGGGCTTAGCAAACAAAATGCTAAAATAGCCCGTGTCATTTGAAGCATCAGGCTGTTCTGTTGGTTTTACGTCAAGTGGCACGTAGGTCATCTTCTTCTTCTTTCCCGTAGTTGCCAAGGCTTGGACCATTGCTAAATGATTGATTTGGGTATGTGGGAAAGCAAGAACCATGTTTGGAACTCGGTCTTTCCCAGTATTTTCAACCTAAAGGAGAAATCCAACAACAAAACGGTTACCTTCGGATAGAAAAAGTCGAGAATGAGAGAAAGTGAAAAAAGGATAATATCACACAATTCTAATTTCTAACATTTAACTCCAAGTCTCAGCCACAAAGTCTCATCTTTTCAACATCTATTACAATCATAAAAAATCGGCCAAAACAAAGGAGCCCACCACAACGGCACATTCAACATGGGAGAGAGTCCATGATCACTAGGAGACACTTCAAATCCAGTTCTAGAGTCCATCATCTCAAAACATTGTTTGCTTGACCAACACCCTCAAAACTGATATAAATAAATGATTCAGTGCAGTTTTATTTTCCCAACTGACATATTTCCAAAATGAAAGTATTGCTACATAGTTGTTGAAAATGGGGTGGGTACCTTGAGAGTAAGGAAGGACTTCACGATATGCGAGCTTACATCAATCTGCAGATGAAAACCAAAACCAAATAGAACACTTTAAGAAGCGTAAACTTCGCCTGAATTCCATTAAAAGGATAGATACTCTGCAAATCAGTCATCGATTATCATATACTCTGCAAACCAGTAATCAATTATCACAATTCAACTAAACGGATGAAATTTTAAAATTAAATCACCCGTAATAGCCTGCGAAGATTGTGTAACCAAGACAATTTCTCTAGCTAGACTGGGAAAATTTCCACGGAAAACAGATCGGAGAGGAAGAGAGGAGATAGATCGGTATTTTCACATTACCCTGCGCTCGGCATTTACGATCTGGAGATCAAGAGCAGAGGATCCAGCGGACAGAGAGAGAAATACGGCGGAAACGAAGACGAAGACTCCGATGAGATCAGCCATTTAGGGGGCGGTTTTGCGGCGGCCACTGCCGTCGCTGCTAGGCTTCGCTCAGTTTCTCCGGTAACAACTGACGAGAAATAGAAGAAGAACGAGAAAGCGAAGCGAGGACTTTGGACGGAACCTTTAGAGTCAAGACGACGACGACTTTGGGCCTTTTGTAACTTTGGGCTTTTTTAAACCCAATTTTAATGATTTTTTTAATATAAAGAGTATCATAAATAACCCAAAAATAAAATAAAAATAATTTTTTTCATAAAATAAAATATCTTTGTAATAAATATCTAAATTAAAAATTATACAAAATTAAATGGATGTAAATTTGGAATATGCCCTCTCTAAAAGCAAATCAGGCTAATCTAGTGAATTGCAATATAGATAAGTCTTTTATTGCTCCATACACAGAAGGGCATTCATCCTCTCCATATATACATACATACACTTTTACATAATCAAAACTTCAGGCCAAAGGAAAATCGCCATAATATATATTGTCAAACCCTAAACCACCTGACTCCCATGAAAACCTCCTTTATCCACTTGTAGCCAGAAAAAAATTGTACAGATGGGACAAAAACACTGGTTGATTTCATTGGATTATCACCCAAAATTTTGTTTCTTTACCTTGGTTTTGGTTGTGAAGTGAATTGGATGGGTCTGTGATTCGAGGGAATGCCAAGAAACATGGCGTGTGACCGTTGGAGCATCTCGGCCATGGAAGGAGTCTGGTAGGACTGAATAAGGCTTGAACCGTCTACCGAATCTCCTCTTGCTGTTGCTCTTTGCCATGAGTGTGAGCTAAGTCCAGAGAGGATGTAAGCTCTTCCTGATGCCTCGTACGCGTGTCTACTCGTCATTCTTTCTTGCATTTCCTTCAGCTCTGCGTCCAGGGCAATGCAGAACCTGTCACGGGATTTTGCTGAGACAGTCTCTGACAAAATCCGCCTGCATTTCTCAAGAACAGAAGCAGCTGCTGCTAAATCACTTTGCTCTGCTAAAGTTCTTGCCTTTACCATTGCCTCAGCAGCTAGGAACCTGTTTCTTTGCCTGTCCACTTCAATGGACACAGCTTCTTGACCGGCCATTTCCGGTCTTTGAATCTTAAGCACATGACCTTCGAGCGTCGCAGTTTCCTTTGTCAAGGGATCCTTATAGATGCATCTCAAATTTAGCAGCAGTGTCTCGCTTCCAGCTTCCTCGGCAGGAATGTTGATGGAGACCAAGAAATCCCTCTCTTCATCAGCACAAAGATCACCAACATCGATAAATCCACACGAGCCATCATCACTAACAAGGCTAGAGTAACTCCCGGATTTTATTGAGCCAATTCGAACATCTGGGCACACAACATCGATTTCTAATTGCATATCTTGCACAGCAACACTTAAAAGTCCACCGATGCACTGTGCAAGAGCATCCTGGATCACAGTTTCACTTTCAATGCAAGAGAAGGTTCCCCCGGTTATCAATGCTTATGCTAAAAGGGGAGATTTCTCAGGTGTAGAAGAGATTCTGAAGGTGATGGAGAAGGAAGGAGTGTCCTATAACGCGGCAACGTTTACACTGTTGATGGGCTGCCGTGGTAAGAACGGAAAGATGGCAAAGAGTGTACCGGGATCTGGAATCGCTTGGTGTCACAACCATGCGTTGAAGATGGGAGTAACAACTTGTAATTTGGATCAGGCTGGTTCATGGTATAAGTGTCTCCCCCATCAGACAAAAGGATAATGCTGGAAACAGGATTTTTATATCTTCTATCTTCCATCACCTTGGCACCTTTCCTAAGACCTTCTGCAATGTTGGTCCCACCATTCGCAACCAATGAATTCACAGCTTGCAGGTTTTGCTGCCTCCCAGTGTCAGACATCTGGGTTAGAGGGAAAAGGCGACGAGCAGTTGAAGAGAAAGCAATGACCGAAAGCCTATCATCGGATCCAAGGTTTTGAATCACAAACCCCATTGCTCGTTTGAGGAGTGCAAGTTTAGTTCCTGCCATACTGCCACTGATGTCTAACACTGTGACTAGGTCAACCGGAGCTCGGGTATAGTGAGAAATGTGCTTGTCTTGAGATAGATCATGCCTGATGACAGTGGCAGCAGATTTGAGATTCACTAATACATCGAAGTTCTCACAGGACTTGGCTCGTGGTAAAGCTGAGACCTCTGGATATGTTGTCAAGTCCATCTTTCTTACAGGATGATTGGTGTCCAAAGCTTTGTTATCGCTAGAGCTCTTCCCAGAAATTATGGACTGCTGCTCTAACCTTTCGTCGTCGTTGAATGTAGCCGGCTCTGAAGTTTGTATATGTGGAGAATGTCCTTGACTCATAACTCGACGAGGGGGAGGTAAGCGACGGAAAAGATTCATGGCTGCATCATTACGGGACCGCTCATACAGACAAGGAAGATCCAACGTGGGATGCTGCATTGGTATTTCTTTCCACTTTGCTCTGCAGACTGGGCAGTCTTGGTTGCCATGTTTCACATTTGAAGTGTGAGCACTCTGCTGTGAAAATCGCATGTCCTCCCCCTTCTTTCATCTTAGCTAAGCATATCGAGCATGTCCGCTGTTAACAAGATTATAACAACATAATATCAGATGGTAAGCCCATAACTAATAGATAAACGCGTGAGAAAAAGTAGACAAACAAACTCTTCAGATGATTCTTATTCAGACAAAGAAACCCATCAAAGTTCTCACATGAGAAAGAGAGATACACCTACAAGCCCAGGGCTTCAGCATTTAACATAAAGAACACAACAACGAAGCAGCAGGAAAATCATGACGGGGAGAGACACAAGACTTCTTTCTATTTATTACAGCCACTAACATTAGGGTTGAAAGACTACAAATCAATTCCTTTTTTCAATTGCTCGAGATATGTCAACACTAGATAAATCTCTAGCAGCAACTGAGCAAGTGATCATGTATCCAGAGATCAAGAAAGAACAAAACTTTCAAGATATATAAAAGCAAAAACAAAGAATCTGTGTACATATGCACAGACAGAATCAAGAATTTCATACCCATAATGAACAACTGTTGTACTAAATGAAACTAACAGAAGAACGCCGGATAGGTCAACTCAATTTCTTCTCAGCAACCAAAACAGACCGGAGCTCACACAAATAACACCAAGAGATGCAGAGAATATAGGTCTCCGGGTAACAAACCTTGGAAGACTTGCTGCGACTCCTGGACAATCTCAGACCGTAAGATGACGATGTCGGAGTCATTGGCCAGTTCGCCGGAGAGAGCAGAGTAACATCCGAAAACCTCTCAGCGGAATTCAAACAAACAGCTGGTGGTTCCTCTAAGGTTCTTGGAAGATACGTACAAAGATTCAGACCCAAAGCCAGTTTCATCTTCCTCCACTTGCTCCCCATTTTCAGATGAGTGACCAAGAAAAAATAGAAACCCAGTTACGAACAGACGAAATGCGACAAAAACAAGAGAGAACCCAGAAGGAGATTTGAATAATCGGAGCGTACGTTAAATGAAAGAGATAAATGGGCTTTTGGTGGAGTTCTTGAAGATTTGCGCTTCAGTGGAATCAGTGGGAGTGTTGGTGGCCGCCATGAGAGAGACAGGGCTTCGAGATTCGCGACTATTTTGACCTTTGTTTTGGGTCTTGTTAAAGGATGCAATAAATAAAAATAAAAACTTAAAAGCAAGGAGGAAAAAAAAGGTCCATTGCTTCTTCTTCATGGAGATATACAATCAATCATACAACCTATCTCTCAGCTTATAATAAATAATAAGTCTATTTTGAATTTCAACTATATGTACATTTAATTTGATGATTGTTTATAAAAATATTTATTCAATTTTAGATTATTTTTATTAAAAATTAGAAAAAAAATATTTTTGTTATTTATATATGTGAATATATACACAAACATGCGTCCAAGTATGTACAATACAAAGGTTGGTCCCGTGTCTAGGGTGGATGTAGCCGGAACGAAGGTCCGGACAACCATACTGATTATTAAAAAAAAAAAAAAAGTATGTACAATGCATGCATGCATAAATCGACATTTATTAACGCTTGAGAACCTTTCGAGAGCAGTTTTTTGTCCTGTAATAATTTTAGAAAATTACGAACGTTAGTGGGTGCATGCCAGAGTCGTACTAGAAAGTGGGTTTGGTTTTGATATGGAAAATTAATTACGTGAAAATAAAAGGGTATTGTAATATTATTTTCTTATGTATAATAATCAATTCATGACGTTAGTATATTTTTAATATTTCATATACAAATATTATTTCATACAACTAAATATTCTAATTGAATTTGGAAAAAGGCATATTTTTAATTCAATAAAACATTGTATCATTTATAATCTTAAACTCTAGCTATATTATGGTTTTTAAAAATGGTCATTTATCTAATTTTTGTTGATGAACTATCTCATTTTTGTAACAAAGATATTCAAAATATTATATATTAATTTCTTTCCTCTGAAAATATTCTAAATCATCGTAATCTGTATACATATATACACCTTTTTAAGTATTTTACGATATTTTATAACAGTGAAACCTCTTCAAGATATATATTGACGGACAAACTATAATTGAAATAATATCATGGAATACAATATATTTTTGTATACAACAAAATCACATGTACATATATATATATATATATATATATGGATGTATGTTAGTAGTGTTGAAATTACGAGCTGTACCATTTAAATTTGTTTATTTTCTGTATATATACCTTATTCTATTTTAAGTGTACATATATTATCATATGATAAAGTATATGTGCGTGTATATAAATATGGAAAAATACTATTCGTATACGACAACGAGGGACGTCTATGGTTATCATGGAGTTGCACTGTCCAACCAGCCACACCCAAAAGACAATGACACTCATGTATATGCTATAACTTCATTATATATATATATATATGTATGTATGCATGAATTCACCTAGTTAGTAATTTCGAAATAGACTGGTCTATGTAGCACTTAGAGTCAATTGAAATCTCTTTTATGGAACGTTTAAAATAGTTATTTATCGTTTTGTTAAATAATATCTAAATTTATAATCGAAGAAAATAGGTGGATGCAATAAAATATATTTAAAAAAAAAAAGAACCAAAAGCTCTTTAATCTTTACGAAGGTGGAGGATATGATTCCCTCGAAATTTCTCACGCTTTCCTTGGACCTGGCCCTAGGTCAACTTGAAAAGCTCGACTCTTTCTTTTTCTTCTTTGAATTTGGTGGCCGCACTCTCTAATAATTAGTTAAATATAAAATTAAATAGGATTAAATTACATAATATATGCAATAATTTGATGTAATATACCTAATGAGCGTCATGGCCTCACGCGTTTAATGGTTCTTTGCTTGATTCGGGTCTGTTAATGTCGTTTAACACCATTACTATTTCGTTCAAAACCTGGTAATATTTTGAAAATTCTTATCTTTATAATTTATATGATTTGTTTAAAAATGATGCATTTATATAGTAAAAGAGTTGACGCATTCATGTGATTTTTTTTTTCAGATTTAAGTAATTTTATCAACCGCAAACGCAAAATAACTAAACAATTGAAACATTTGCAGTTAAAGAATTCCATTATTATTATTATTATTATTATTATTGTTATTCTGAAATTCATAATGAAATTAATATATACAAGCTCAAATGGGTAAAACAATTTTTTCTAATCTCTTGTTGAGCTGGGTCCAAACTCCGTTCTTTAGAATATTATATTAATAATGAAATTATATGATTTCGAAATTATAAATATATCCCATTTTATTCGGTTCATTTAGATCATCATGTAATCCAGATTTTTCTCCTAATCAGTTAATAATCAAAGATTATTATATAGTTGAAATCAAATCTAATTTGAATAACAAATTAAACTAATATTTGAAAACTAAAAATTTGGTCAGTCGTCGTACCTTTCTAGACAATCTTTTGACGAAAATTCACGGTTCAATTTTTATGATATTATTTGATTATTCTAATAAAAACAAGAGCATAATGGCTTATAAATGCAATCGTAATTACATGTTTTTCATATAATGAATAATGCTATCATCAAATTTAGTCTATTGAATGCAATTCTTCACGGATCCTATTTTTAGATTATACAATCGGCAGGGTTTTGGGAATTTAAATCAACATAAATTATCACAAAAAATAGAATATATAAACAAATACGACGGAAAATAAAGATTTTAATAGATATGGTTTTATTTTTATACTTTTAGTGATTAAAAATAAAATTAGTGCACATTAATTATCGCAATTAAATTCATCGGCGATTAGTTGTATTTACAAATAACCGCCCCCACCAACTGCTATCGCTCGCTGGCTGGCGAAGTCGGCGAAACACAAAAGAAATCTCAACATTTTAACCCTAAATCGAAAAAATCCCCAAATTTCTAAGGTTACTCTGCTCTTCTGTACGGCATTTCGATTTCCATTATTGTACTTCGAATCATATTTTTCTTTCCTTGTTCTAGCTTCCTCTCTCTCGCGCGTTCTCGGGCAACGTTTGAATTTCCGGGTTTTTGTTTTTTTCCCTGCGGTTGTGTCTGTGCAGTATTAGTCAATGGATACACCAACGAGCCCTGCCGGAGACGGCGGAGAGAGTGGCGGCTCGGTCAGGGAGCAGGATCGGTCCCTGCCGATTGCGAACATTAGCAGGATCATGAAGAAGGCCTTACCTCCCAACGGGAAAATCGGCAAAGATGCTAAAGACACTGTTCAGGAATGCGTTTCTGAGTTCATCAGCTTCATCACCAGCGAGTAAGTTTCTTGGAGATTTGATCATATGTATCGCTAGAATTGTCCAGGAAACTAATGGGTTTCAAATTATGAAACCCGAAATTATTAGACGAATTTACAATCATAGGCGAGTTTTGGAGTATTTTCTCATGTCGTGTGCATACCATGTTACAAGGATAGTCTGAGTTTTGAGAAACTGTAATTGGAGCGCTAGAAAAGATTTGAGCTTGAAAGTTTTGGTTTTAGAATTTAGATGATGATGCCCTTAAGAGAAATTAGTTGGGTGATTTGTATGGAGCATCTGAAGCATTTTTTTTCTTCTGGTGCTTGGACCATTTGCGTGTGTGCTTTCTATGGCTGCTATGTTTTCTTGGCCGTATAATTGTTCGAATGGAATAAAAGTTGGAATTTGTTCCTTTGCATATTATCTTGGTTGTTCCGAGTATGGAGCAGGTTCCTCTTTGGTGCTTTAGAGGTTCTTCTTGGCTTCGTTCTTTGTTCTTTTTATCAGTCTTTTTCGATATTTTCGGTTTAGGTTTCTCTTATTTGTTCTTTGGTACAATAAATGGTGAACTAGATGGGGTTAACTTGTTCTGATGGCTGTGCGTTGTAGGTCAACATAGATGAATTTGTTGCTTCATACAAATTTGATTAATCATTAGACTGCTTAAGATGTACTAATTTTATTCGCCTGTATCAGATCCTAGATAAGCTTTGACTTTAGACCTTACTACATTTGAAATTTTATTTGCTGAGGGATCTCAGGAGAAAGCATATTTGGGTGTTCTTTTGTTTCTTGCATACAGTGTTGGGTTCTTTTGTTTGTTTGACGCTGCTTTTTGGACTGTAGTTAGTAGTTGCATGGTATAAATTTGGTGTCTGATGGTGGCTTTGGATTTCATGTCTTTGCAGGGCCAGCGATAAATGCCAGAAAGAGAAACGGAAGACAGTGAATGGAGATGATCTGTTGTGGGCTATGGCAACATTAGGTTTTGAGGATTATCTCGAGCCCCTAAGGATATACTTGCAAAGGTACAGAGAGGTAAGTTATTGTGATACTCTGCTCATATATTTTTTTAATTTCAATTTCACATGGCTATAATGCACAATAAGGATATACACATTAGCTGTATTTAGTATCTCACGAACGATACATGATTGAGATATTTTAAGTTGGCAATATGTGCAATTTAACTTTCGAAAAGATAAACCAAGATGAGTTCTAGTGATGCATCCTTGCTCGTCTGAATTATGAAAATTCGTAGTCGTCGCAATCTGTGAATAATTTGAAGCCTGAAAATAAACATATTTTCACTGTCTTTCACTTTTCAAGTTTAGCTATTACCATATATTTTTGTATAGCCAAGTCTTTTGATGCACATGACTAATCACTTTCATCGTTTCTTTTTTCTTGTTTGCTGGAAAATCTCGTCGCTGTTACAGTTGGAGGTAAATAAAACTCACTCTCCCGTTTCACCCTTTTTTCCACCGAAGAGAAGTGCAGTTTCCCTGGCTATCAATTGGTATCTAACTTAATGCGGGGATTTTGGACAGGGTGATAACAAGGGATCAGCAAAAGGTGGAGACAGTTCTAATAGAGATGGTGCTGGGGGTTTTCCCGGCCAAGACATGCCAGTAAGATTTTAACGACAAAACTATATTTCTTAACACCTTTTGATAATCCTCTTTCAGCTGAGTATACCATGTGTTAACGCAGAGCTGGTAAAAGAACTCACAAGTTTGCCTTTTACGAGGTCAAGAACTATGCCAACGACCAAGTAAATCCCGCTATCTCTGTCTCTCGCCTTTATGAAGAGCATATTCTTTATGCATGTAGGTTTTGCATTCATCCATCTCGAAACTTCCTCTTTTTTTTTTTTTCTTCTTCTCTTGTTCTTGCATGATATCTCCCTCCCTGTCATAAGAAGCATGCGTTTTAGGTGTGTTACTATATCAAATATCAAATCTAAGAATTCATTCGCAGATTTTTTTTTTTTCGAGTTTGCCCTTCGACTTACGTGATCGTTCTCAATACCCGTGGTTTAAGACTTGTTTGCTTTCGTTCAAGTAAGTGTAAGATTCGGCTTCTTCTATCCTGAGTTGCATCCGATTTCCGCATCTGATTCATTTTCCGGGTATCCAAACCGCTGCATTGAGATGTTCTTTTTTTGTATGTTCGGATTCGGAGATTAACTCGTTCGGTTCTGTCGGAATTCGGTGCAGGGGGGAAGGGTTTGGTCGCAGGTTATGATCATTGGCTTGGAGACTCCGTTTGTTTGTATGAATGGGCTGATGATCTGATCGACTCTTCTTGAGGGTTGTTGGTTCATTTGTTTTCTTCTCCTCTCATTGTATCGCCGCTTTCTTATTTTTTGGTAATCGTAACAGTTAGTGATTGGGGATTAGTTTTGATGATTGAGATAATTCGATTTTAATGTAATGATTTCGCAGTTTTACGCATTTTTTTTTAATTATTTATCGTTACCTTTTTTTTATTTAATCTCGTAGAATCGCCTGTAAGTTCTTTCATTGCGTGTATAATATATATATATATATATGACAACACTCGTAATCTGTCACTCATTGAATATTAAGCCCATTATTAGTAGGTGTCTAGATTTGGCAGTTTTAGATAAGGAGGGCTATTTCGGTTTGTCTAATGTCTGAATTTGATATATTTGAATGATACATATTTTGCAGAATGCCAATCTTTCCTCCGCACACTTTTAAGATTTAAAATTGAATTTATATATTTGTATAAACTTATTATTTTCATTTCCCCTTGTATAGAATATAAAAACATACATAATAAAGACGAGCGGAAGGATCGAGACCGTCGATTTTGGGTGTTTTAGATTTGCGTCATCGATATATTCCTCAAATTCGTGAAAAGAAAAAAAAGGAAAATGAAAAAAAACGAAGTACGATTTTTATCTGATGTGGAACTTTGGAAGAACGGAGAGGGGATTAAAAGAAGATGGTGATGCGTTGATGACAGATGACGAAACCCTCGACGGACGACTGCTACTGTTGTCGGGTTCTTCGTGTTCGTTGTTAGATCTTCTTCCTTGAAACCCACACTCCTTCCGTGTCAGCTCTACTCCTCCAAAACCCTGACCTCGTCGATTCTTTCTGCAAGATCTGAGGAGGTAACACTCTGAATTTTAGTTTCCCCTCGTGATCTGGGCGTTTTCACGGTTTTATGAATACCCATGTCTCGTTTCGAGGAATCGGTTAGGATTCAATAGTTAAAGTTTGGTTTTTTTTTGAGATGCCCAGATCTTATCCATGGACGAACACAAGGAGGAAGGCGGGCTTGCTGGTAATTGCGAAGAGTCTGTGAAGGGAGCTTGTGAGGAAGTTGATGTACCTGTTAAAGCTGAAACCCTAGGTGCTAAGGTTGATGTTCAGGTGGAGGACTGTAACGGCGATACTAATACAACAGAGGGCTCCGATTCTGGTGTTTGTAATAGTGGTAACGTTGGTAATGGAACTGGCGAAAAGACAAACGGTGGAAACAGCCATGGTGATGATGAGTCGGGGACTGGGGCAAGAAGCTTAGAAGTGGAGGCTATGGATAAGGATAATTCGGTTTCTTGGGAGAGGAAGGAAGATGTCGGGAGAGCTGAGGAGATGGGTGTTCCTGTTGACACTGAAGCAACAAATGCTACTGCAAAGCCAGAAACTGATGAATCAGAAAGAGATGAGGTTGAATTGAAGGGTGCTGAGTCTTGTGATGGTGATGAAAGAGGTGAGAAACCGGTTGCCTTAGTCGAGTCTGAAGTGACAGATGAGAGGGAAAATGGTGAAACTGACGCAAGTGTGGGAACGGAGAAGACAGTAACCTGTGTTGGGACTGAAGTAACTGATGAGAAGCCAAGGTTTGATGCTGAGGATACCAAAATTGTTGATGCGGAAATAAGTTCTGATGCTGCAGAGATTATGGGGAGTGAAGAGAAAGAACCAGCTAAAAAGGGCGATGAGGATAAGGAAAAAATGGATACTGATAACGAAAATACGATTACAGGGGTGATGGACGAGAAAGCCAGTCCTTTACATGATGAGCAGAAAAATCCTGAGTCCGAGACAGTAGATGCTACGCCTTTGAAACCTGTGCAAGCTCTGGAGGAGCCTGACCAAGTGAAAAATGGGGAAACCGCCATGGTTGTCGATGTGGAGGAGCTGAAAGCTCAAGAGGTTACTGCTTGCGACTACACAAAGGATAGTTTTGCTGTAGAAACATGTCCTGAAGAACTCACTGCTGACATTAATCAGAAAGAAGAAAAAGAAGAAGCCATGGAAATCGATTCTGTTGAGGAGGGACAGGTGAAAGAGGTTGACAAATTTGGCGGCTTTGCAGAGAATGCTGGGGAGGGATCTGATGTTGCAAATACAATAGAAACCCGAGATGTTCCCACAGGTGAAGCCAACCAGGATGATTCCAGTGCTGAAAAGAAGACAGAAACTGACAAAAATTATGTTGAGGAACAAGATGATAAGGATGATACAGCTAAAATCATATCTAAAGATTCAACAGACCCAGACAATCTTATTGAAGATGCTTCCACAGGTGAAGTTGAACAAATGGATCATAATGTTCTTTTTGATGATACCAAAATTGTTGATGCGGAAATAAGTTCTGATGCTGCAGAGATTATGGGGAGTGAAGAGAAAGAACCAGCTAAAAAGGGCGATGAGGATAAGGAAAAAATGGATACTGATAACGAAAATACGATTACAGGGGTGATGGACGAGAAAGCCAGTCCTTTACATGATGAGCAGAAAAATCCTGAGTCCGAGACAGTAGATGCTACGCCTTTGAAACCTGTGCAAGCTCTGGAGGAGCCTGACCAAGTGAAAAATGGGGAAACCGCCATGGTTGTCGATGTGGAGGAGCTGAAAGCTCAAGAGGTTACTGCTTGCGACTACACAAAGGATAGTTTTGCTGTAGAAACATGTCCTGAAGAACTCACTGCTGACATTAATCAGAAAGAAGAAAAAGAAGAAGCCATGGAAATCGATTCTGTTGAGGAGGGACAGGTGAAAGAGGTTGACAAATTTGGCGGCTTTGCAGAGAATGCTGGGGAGGGATCTGATGTTGCAAATACAATAGAAACCCGAGATGTTCCCACAGGTGAAGCCAACCAGGATGATTCCAGTGCTGAAAAGAAGACAGAAACTGACAAAAATTATGTTGAGGAACAAGATGATAAGGATGATACAGCTAAAATCATATCTAAAGATTCAACAGACCCAGACAATCTTATTGAAGATGCTTCCACAGGTGAAGTTGAACAAATGGATCATAATGTTCTTTTTGATCCAAATTCTGATATTGCCAACTATATTGATTTCAGTGGTGTATCATCTTGGTCAGGCAATAATCAAGAAATAAGATCTGACACCGGGAATGTAACTGGGGAGGAGAATACAGAAGTTACTGGCACAGCAAAGGAAGTTGCCACACTGAATGACCAAGAGGGTCTTAAACCTGATATTGAGGTACATGGGTCAACTGTAAATGTTCAAGAATCAGTGTTGGACGATTCCAAAGGTAAGGACACAACAACCAACCTCAAATCCCGTGACCCTAACACAGTTGACGGAATGGAAATTGACAGAGAGGGTGGGGATGCTGAAAAAGAACCCAATGAAGCACATGTTTCTCGTGCAGAAGTTTCAGCTGCTGCTGTAGATCGTCTGGAAGACACTTCCGATGCAAATCTGGGTTCTTCGGTAGGTGAAGAAAACCAAGAAGAGAAAGGAACAGAAGAACAAAAAGATATGATCACGGAGCAAGAGGGTGATGCATATGAAGCTCCTGATGTTGATACGAACCAGATGCAAGATACAGAAATGGCAGAGAAACTGAAGGGTTCTGATCATGACGAGGGGACAGATTCCGATACTAAAACCAATGGTGTGAAGCGAAAGGCTGACGCCTTGGGTGAAGATTCCTCACAAGAAGTAAGGAAGACCATTTCGGTAGCGAAGGTGTCTGTTAGCCAGTCTCACCCCATGAGGTCATCCTTTAAGATCGGTGCATGCATAGCCAGAGCTGCTAGCCAGATGGCAGGTCCTCCTTCGGTTCTGAAGGGTAGTACTTTCAGTGATGACCTCTCCGTCGACAATTTTCTATCACAGCTTCAGTCTGCAGCAACAGACCCTGTAAAAGAAAACGCTGTTTCCGAAATTGCTGCTGGGTTTTTCTTAGACTACAGAAACTCAGTGATTCCGCAACAGCCACCTCCGGATAAAGTGAGCGGTAAAAGAGGAAGACCGTCCAATTCTAATATAGGAGGGACCGAAGCATTTGAGTTTGAGGAAATGAGTGACACTTACTGGAATGACAGGGTGGTCCATAATGGCGGGGAGGAGCAAAAACCGCCCGCTGAAAGAGGGGATTATCAGGTCGTGCCCGTCGAGTTGAAACCTGCTCAGATTCAAAGGACTCGTCGGCCATACACCAAAAGAAAGCATGCTGAGAATAACAACAATAATAACTCTGTTTCAGCCTCCAATAAACCAGCAGGCTTTGACGAGAATTCACCAGCTGAGCTCATAATGAGCTTCTCTGAAATGGATACGATACCTTCGGAGGTTAATCTGAATAAGATGCTTAGGCACTTTGGACCGATAAGAGAGTCTCAAACAGAAGTAGACAGGGACACGAGCAGGGCGAGAGTGATTTTCAGGAAGTGTGGTGATGCTGAAGTTGCTTATAACAGCGCGGGAAGGTTCAATATATTCGGTTCAAAGGTTGTGAATTACGAGCTAAGCTATACAATTACGGAACCGTTTAAGATTCAGCCTTATGTCGTAACCATAGGCGAGGAGGACGGAGCACTATGTCTTCCATCCCAAAGTTAGGTTCTTGAGCCATGATTCAGGTAAAATCTTCTTCTCTCTTCACACCGGCTTTGATAATATTCAATGCATGGGCAGTCTAGTTTTACCTGACGCAGAAGAACTCTGGAAAATTTAGTGTCAGATGGTTTACCTGCCATGGTGGAAGTCGTCGAGTTCTTTTAGCTCGGAATCCTTATTTAGTTCGATTTTCCAACCAGAGAGGAAAATCTGCATAAATAGCAAAACAGATGTTGGGATTTGGGCGGCAGTATCTTAAACAATGATTCAGTTAGACTGATAAGTTAACATTAGAAACGTGATTCAGTTAGTTATCCTGGTTGGTTGCTCTGCAATTATATGTTTTTTTCCGACATCGACCCCGAGTTGGTATTAATGGGTATGATATTCTTAGTTTGCTCGTGTTTTTTTAGGGCGAAAAGGACGAGTCTAGAGGACGAGGCGGCGACGACGACTACGACTACGGGAGAAAAGAAGCTGTTTGGATCAGAATCGTACAATGTAAAAGATGGTGTAGATCTTTCTTAGATTTTTTGTGTACTTTTTAGGGTTTAGGGAGTTTTAGATTTGGTGTAACCTTAAACCAAAGCATGTTGAGTAAAAACACACTCTGTTCTGAGAGATGTCTGAGACTTTGATTGTGTCTTTGTTTCATGTGGCCGTGGGCTCATGTTTGTTCCTTGGGACCTTACTGTCTTTATTTATTTAGCTTTCCTTCTCTTGGTAGGAAAATTTGTTGGTCCAAAACATGTGTGGAATGATAGCAATTGAAAACATTAGTCTATAGTTATCTGATATAAAAATCGAATATGATATAATTTTAAAATGAACTTTCAACTGAATCTAAGATTAAATATATACATAATAAAAAAATGATTTTTTAATCATCATTTTTAATTTTTATCAATTAAACGTAATTCAAATTAAATTAAGTATAATATAAAAGCTCGAATAAAAAAAATTAAAATTCGAAAAAAAAAATGGTGATGCGATATATTTTGTAGTATTTGTACAATGTGTCAAAATCTTTTGATAGTTATGTAAAGCGATTTGAAAATTTGATAGTGTTTTTAAAAAAATGATGTGTTAGTTTATAAATTTTAGATTTCATGTATTTATTACCGAACATGTTTAGGATGAATCCGAATAGAATTCGGTTAATATTTGTCCTCTCCAACTCGAGCAAGGGGTTAGGTGTAAAAATGGAAAATAAACGGCCGTTAAGTCCGCATTCAAGTAATTCAAAATTTGATTTGTAGTATATTATTTATTTAATTATGATTCCTAATCAAGATTAATTGAGCCTCGATCCTCTCAAAATTCGAATTTTCCCTCCTTAAATGCCCTCGATAACGCACTCTCTTCTTTCGGTTTCAATGAATTTTCGTGAAATCAAGAACCGAGGAAAGTTCTTGAAGTTTTCAGTGGCGATGGATTCTCGAGAAATTGTCTCTTCAGGTAAATTCGTTCTTCTCCGATTCTCCTTCTCCTTTAACTTCTCTCCAATCTGATTTACGGCTGAAGAAGATGATGAAATTTCTCCGCGAACTAGTCTGATGAGAATGGTTTTAAGGATTTGGTTTGATTCATATTCAGGGTTTTAGGGTTTAGATCAATTTGGAGGATTTGGAACCAGAGTGAAATTGGAACTTGAATCAGAACCGAATAGAAACACATGGATTCGGTTCCGTTTGGTGTCGAACTTCATCTATCGGAACACCAATCGTGATTTTGTTTGAACAATTTGACCATCTCGAAACGCTAAATCTTGCAGAAGCGCGGAAGAAGCTCGATTGCGCAGACCCGATCGAGAAATTATTTTGGAGCGAAAGCCTGGGAAATCATGAACACGGGTCGAAATGCGATCTGCGAAAGAGCTTGGCTTGGGATAGCGCCTTTTTCACCAGTCCTGGTAATGTTTCTCCCTCATGTACCAATAATCATACTCTTCTTCTTACACACCAATCTTTGGAAACTGCCTAATTTTTTATGAATCATCCTTCCTCAGGAGTGCTGGACGTCGAAGAATTGTTTTCGTCCTTAAATCTTCACGAAAACGAAGTGAAGGGAATGTCCACGAACAAAGGGTTTCCCTCTACGTCGTCGGACGAGAGCAGTGGACGGAGAAGTTTGGCTTGGAATAGCGCCTTCTTCACAGATCCAGGTATTGCTCATTGCGTTTTTTTGTCACATTTTCGTTGAAGAAATTGTGAAAATTACGTGAATCGTACTTGTTGACAGTGTTGTGCAACTGTTAAGACAGTGTTTTTCTGATAAAGGTTTGTGTTTCATTCCAACAAAATTTTTCGTACATTCTGTTAAGACAGTGTTAATGGTTGATGTCTTATAATTGTGGACTGAAATCTCTTGTCAGGTATTCTAAACGCCGAGGAGCTGTTCTTAGTAAACAGAGGAATCAGCAAGAGACTTCCAGAATCAAAGAAACAGCTTTGGAAGTCTGTTGATTCGAGTTCTTCTACCTCGCAAAGGAGCAGATATTCCGTAACGAGCATCGAGAGCGACTTGTTCAATGATCTACGAACTGTGTCAGGCCGATCAAATACAGAACATGAAGATCTCTCCGCTAGCAAAAAGCGCGACGGCGTCCGGGAAATCCAGTGTAAGAACGGGTTGCGTTTTGCTTCTGATGAAGAGTTTTCTGATTTTGACAGCCATTGCAATGTCATCTTGACAATTGTGGGCTTTTCATCATTCCCCCTTTCAGTTTTGCAGGATTCAGATTCAGCTTCTGCACATAAAAAGGTAATCGAGAACAATCTGGGGGATCGAACGACCTTTTTTCCTTCGATTTATATCCAAGAATCGTGTGCTTATCTTACCGTTTCTCTCGTTTTCAGTTGAAGCCTTTGCCGCCTACCGGAAGACAGAGGACTAATCATGTGCATAGACTGAAGCGGGTGCTGAAGGAGCCTTCACGTCTCAATCCCCAACCAAAGGTGCGTATTGTCAAGTTACTTTCATGGAACGTGAATATAGTTCGACGAAAATGGATTAATCCGAAAAAAAACCCCTAAAGATTGGATAAAGAACAGAGAATTACCACAGTTTTGTCTTCTTGATCTGTGGGAGTATATGAATGAGATAATAACAGTTTTGTCTGTTGCTTTATTTGAAGAGTGTTGTATGCAATGGAGAATCAAATCCTTTGCCATCTCAGAAACCAGACAAGTTCACGTATGGATCTGATGCCACAGTTGCCGTCTCCACGAACCAACTCCCGTCTCCTCTTGAGCATGCTAAACCTAAAAACGGAGAAACTGGTGAGAATCTCATGACCCGAAATGTACAAAGGTGCGATCTTTTTCTGTAACCCTTGTACTGAAATTTCACGACTTTGGTTAAAGGGAGGAATATGAGAACACTGGTCAGGAACCGTTGCTCAGACGAACAGACTGGATCCACGTCTGTCGGAAGATCGAGACGAGTAGTTGCCTCTAGGCTCACTGCTTCTGACTCATCCTTCAAGGCTCCTTCGCGTTTCGCCGTGGATTTGCAGGTTCCTGAGAAGAGAAGCAAAACTCCGACAAAACCTACAACTCCTCTCTCCGAAATCGCGTTGAAGGATGTCAGATCCTCCGGACTCCGGTTGCCATTGCCGAAGATCGGTTTCTTCGATGCGGTAAGTTTCAGCAGATTCAATTCCGATGCTATTCGTTTTCCAGTTTCCGGCCATCTTTACGAGAAACACCCATTGTTGCGACAGGAGAATGCGGCGAAAGAAAACAGAGAACCAAACATGATATCCAGTTCTGGATCTGCGAGTAGAATAAGATACAGGAAATCACCTCAAATGGCTTCACCAGACGGATACACTTCTCCTCTTGGACGCAGAAAACCTCCGACGCTACTAGCAAACGCAAACGCAAAATGTCCGAAGACCAAAGGAAGGAGCGAAACGGGAACGAAGAGAACTGACCTGAAAACTCACCGGAGCAGTGACTTGGTTATAGAGTTCTGGCCGAAGAACTTTAGCGGTTAATGATATTAACGTTTCGGTGGTGTCTAGGGTTTGAAACAGCTTTCTTGCTGAACAAGGCACTGACTACATTTCCATTTCTTGTTAGGCAAGGCATGATATAGGTTTATTGTTTTGTTGCGTGCTTGATCTCAATCCGGGAAATAAGCACGTTCCAAATTTATGGTTAATGCTAAAAATTGATTTATGGAAGTGGAAATGATGAACAGGAAAAAAAAGAACTGTGGTCACCCATTTGTTTATTACAAAACTGAGGAAACACTAACAGATAAAACTATACACGACAAAGGGGCAAATAAGACGAACAATAGAGCAGGCATGGCCTTATGATCCCAAGACGCGAAACTATAATCTGATGATCCCTGCGTCTACGTTTGCGTTTGTCATCCCACGAGCACGTAAATCGCGTATATAATCCCCGGTATATAACCGAGCACCGTCAATAACAAACATATCCAGAACTCGATCTGCATTTACAGAACGCGGAAAATAACGATGATCGTCCATGAAGAAGCTGCGCAAGCGCAAACGCAAACGCGGAAACGCAACTGAGAGAGAGAGATTAGACTTACTCCGCAACCGTAACGGAGGAAAACGCCAACGGGGGGTAGGAGAATCGCCAGAATCACTTCCAAGAAAGTCTCTGATCCCATTTTTTTTCTGATTTTTTTCACAATTTTTTCTACTTCGTTCTGATGTGATCTTTTACAGAACGCAGAATCCAAAGAAGGAGAAAGAACACGAGAAAGAGAGAGGAGTCACGGAGTGGTGGTGGGTTGAGGGAGAGGATATGGACAGGTGTAGCGTGACACGTGTCGTTTACTTGGCAACTTCATACGCCACGTGGCGAGTATGTGGACACGTAAGGGTACCAATTGTGGCGTTTCGGTTTTGAAGGGGTTGTTTCGTTCAATAGAAGACTGAACTGTTGCCTTATTTTACGGACAAGACATACGAATAGTTCCGAGACACATTGACACGTGTCGCTAATATAATTAAATAATAAAATTAATTTAAAATATTTAATATTAGTGTAAACTATCTTTTATTTTATTCGAAATTCAGTTATAAAATGGTGTACCTATTATAAGTTGTCGTACGAACTCAATGATCTATTGGAAAAACTATGTTTCTTATTAGGATTGGTTTTTAAGAGTTCCGGAAATTTTTTTTTAAAAAAAAGTTCTAATAGGAACCAGTGAAAACTTGAAGATTTTTTTAAACCAAAAAAGGAAAAAAGAAAAAAAAATATATATTAAAGGTTAATAAATGAGGGGCTTCTTCATGTCCATGAAAACTACATTGGGCCAAAAAGCCCAAACCCAATTATCAAATTTTGCTTTTTCGGTTCGAACCGAGATACACAAAACGAACCGTTAGGTTCAACGTTTCGGATTTAACGCCGTTATTGATAGGGAGGGAAGGGACCCCAAATACTTTCAAATGCAAATGCTCAAAATTTCCTTCTCTCTCTCTCTCATAGAGACACACACAGAGTCGTCTCAGTGTCTCTGGTCTCCACAGACTGCCCCCCTCTCGCCAGGCTCGGCGTCTACGCCGCTCTGACCGTCACCACTGATGCACCGGCGTCAGGGAAAAGCCATCGAGGTATGTCTCGGTCCATCTCTCTCTCTCTCTCTCTTCACCCCTTTGGCTGCGGCGGTTTCAACCCCTTGCTTCAGTCCCATTTTTCTGGAGTAGATTCTATTTTGTTCTTAGCTCAAAGGTCTCAACCCTAGGTTTCCCGTGCGCGCCCACCCTAAATCACACACACACACATCGCTGTCTCTGCAATTTGCCTTGATCCAATCGACATTATGCAGTGTAATCGATTTCGAAAACCCTAGCGCTGGGAATCTGTTTGGGGCAAAACAAGGGTTTAATGCGACGAATCGGCCAGCGATCTTCGTGTAAGTTTGATATAAGCTGTCGGGTTTTAAATTGATGTTTTCCTTCTCTGTGCCTTATCTACATTATTGGAGTTTTGATTTGTCAAATGACCGTCATATGTTGTTTAGATGAGTTCCCAAGTTGTTTGGGCTCGGAGCCGTGTTGATTTACTGAGTGGGGTTTCAGTAGGTGATTTGAATGGTAAGGAAGCAAAATCTTGTGGGAGATGGCGAAAGTAGTTGCTGCTAGTGCTTTGGACTCACGTTCTCTTAAGATTGGTGGAGGTGCGAAGGTTGCACCGATGACTAGGAGGAAGACCCCCTCAGAACTGAGAGTAATATTCTCTGTCTCGCTTTTTGAATCTCTTTTTTCTCCGAACTGTATGTTTGTGAAACAAAAGGAACTTTAGTTTTTCCCACATTTGTCCCACGGGTTTGCTACTGCTTCAACTTTGTGTTTCAAAATTTTGTTCTATAATACAAATGGTACATAGCGGCTCGGACTATCCCATGAAGTATTTCATTTAGTTGGTTACATGTTTATACCTGGGCACTTTATCTCTTTCTCGTTGTGTTAGTTGTGTTTCCAGATATTATCTAACTGAAAACCATTTAGCTCTTGTTCCTGCTGACCTTCCACCGAAGAGAAGTGCAGTTTCCCTGGCTATCAATTGGTATCTAACTTAATGCGGGGATTTTGGACAGGGTGATAACAAGGGATCAGCAAGAGG